GTGGCCTTGCCCTAAGAGAGAGGCGCTTACAAGAACATCAGAATCTCTGAGAGGCCGTTTTTGTGAAGTTGGTTCAGAAAGTTTGTCTGCAGTGAAGCGAACTGTGACTTGGCTCTGTCGTGCGTGAAAAACTGTGAGTCCACTGCCTCTGCAAGGCCTACGGGATGCTGCCAATGCGTTCCTGGCACCATGAAGCCTGACAGTGTGAATCCGTGCTTGGATTTGAGTTCAGCTTCATTAGACAGCGCACACAAAAGGGTTGACAGGTGGATATGACGAAAATCTTCTTGAGCGCACCGTTCTTGTCTGCACAACCTGTACAACAGATATGCAATCGTTGTCGAGGCATTCTCAAGATGCAAACAGCTCAGCTCCTCCACGCGTTGGACCCTAATGTCACTTGCAGATGTTAGTTACAAGTTCGCATGTGATGTTGACTACCCGGACAAACTGATCTCCAAATGGTGACAAGCTTGGTGCCTTACGGTGTACGGTAAGCAAGGGCTACAGCTGCACAAGGATGTGCTCGCCAGGATGGAACACAGCGAAAAGCATGAAAGCTCCATTCACAGAGATTCTTCACAGAGATTCATTCCTGTCAGATGCCGTGTTTTGCCCAGTTGGAACCACCGATTGAAGATGCATCTAGCACTACTGTCAATAGTGTGTGATGGTGTGTGTACTCCCGCACTGCCTGCCATCGCGCCGCAGGTGACTGATTGAAGACAGCGTCCGATGCCAGGGAACAAAGAACACATGCGCGCAGGTTTCATGATTGTGTTCTGATGCTCATGGCGGTCCGGCTGTGAGGAGCCGTTTGCACTTGGCACTTGCTGTTCCATTCACTGCTCAGGTGGGATGTTGCATGCACATATTGACCAGTCATGCTTTCGAGTAGCAAGTTGCCGGCACATTCTGTGGTGAAATGCTTGCTCATGTCGTTCAGGCTAATTCAGTTTTGACTTGTGTCATGCCGTTATGTGCGGTGCAGCTATAACATATGACGTCTTCAGCTTCAGTTTTGTTCTGACTGGTTTTCGGCCACTGGCCCATTGTCTTCGACCACTGGCCAATACCTGATAGGAAACGATTCTGTTTGTATTGCCGTCTATCCGGCTTTAAGTGTGGCAACAAGCAGCGCCCGGCAGGGTGGAGTAACAACAGTTGCTTGACCACACGCGGCTCCCTGCCAAACGTAATCAAGATTTCCGCTGCTGGCAACGGTGATCTAGGCCATGTGCCAAAACCTTAGATTAGTTCTTTCGATGACTACGGCAACCAAAAATTAAAGTTTGCGATTTTTTGGCTCACCGTCTTGATTTGTTTTTGATCGCAAGCACTTTTTATGTTTTGTTACTGGTTGGTTTTGTTTTGATCCTTCTGCCGTTGCGGCTCGTTGGAAGTGTCACTGTGGGTTGGCAGTTAGGCAGCAAGTGCGTGCACATGACAAATTGTGAACTGCATGGACTGAGAAAGGACATCTGAAGATCTTTTGTTTGAATCCAATGTTGCAGCTGGGCCAAACGTGGTCATGCGCGCTTTTGGTGCTGTTTTGCTAACAGTTGGGCCCCCAACATGAACAGCGCAGGACAACGTTCTCACATGTACGGGGTATTTGGACCATTGCGAACATGACATGGGTTTGGGCTAGGTCGACTAGGTTTTGCATGGGTGCCGAGTTAACAACAAAGGACAACACGAAGCCTCAAACTGTGTCCGGCCCAAACCAGCTTTGCCACTTGTCAACCCAATCCCAAGTAATGAAGTAACGAAACTCGCCGCACTTTCCCAGGTTCTTTCCCATGCAGATGAGGAGGTCGGATTTGATTGGTGTTGGCATTTGGAGTTCTTGCGAACGGGTTTGGGGTGTAAGTGAGCAGACCGCCCACGGTATCAGGACCAGCAGGCATGCAGACCGCAACGCCTTCTGCACGAATCCTTTTCGGGTTAATACAGCATGAAAAGGTCTGTCGTTTCATTGCAATATTACTTGTTGACTTGTTGTGCAGTCCGCAAAGTTCTTAGAGGTCGTTAACATGATGGAAGGTTTCGCATTTCTGCGACCCCGAGATCTTTCCATCCTGCGATGTGGGCGCTCGGGTTGGCCGCGACGCACCGGGGTTGTGGCCTCTTGGCAGGGTTCCGTTTCAAGCGAGCAGCACGGGCGAAGCGTTTGGTCAGAGGGTGGTTTCGGATTTTTAGCAGCGTCGGCGAAAGCCCGACACATTCTTGAGGCTGGTCTCCCTGATGAGTTGACAAATCAAACTTGGAGCATGTGCGTGCTTAGGACTACGAATGCTACCCGACTTGCAGTGAAAGCGAGCCTCGGCTGCGAGATTGAACATTGCCCGGTGCCAGAGTTGAGAACAGGCTGAGAGCTGTGCTTTCGCACTTGGTTGAACCGTGAGGACATGTTCAAGAACAAAATGTCAACGGTGAATTTGATGTTGCTCCCTTCAGTCTTAGGGAATCCTTCAAGGTTGCTTGCAAAAACCATGTAAGGAGCACGCCCACACGGCCCCGTTTACATATTTCCGGTTTTGGCAACATTCCAGGAGCCGATCCAGCCGCTTCCTTCGAGTGAACGGGCCCACGGGTGGGATGAGAGTTCTTGATTGAGGCTTTCTTGCGCCTTTCGGGCTGAGTTCTCAGGTTGATGCCTTGACCCTCATGATGTTAGATACACTAGATGCTGGATCGATGTCTTTCGAGGTGTCCAGTGGCTTGACAATCGTCTAGAAGTGATGGTGCTACTGCTTTTGGCATGTTCAGCATCAAGTGGTGCAGGAAGGGTGAGGAACATCAGCACATTCTCTGAATCGTTTCAATCATCGGGGCAATGAAGTTTCCAACGAAGACGACGATGATTTAGATTTCGACGCTTCTGGTCCTATCACCTCTGTATCCAGCGCTTGTTACTTGAGGAGGCTTCCTCCAATTCCGCACGACCACGAGTTTCTGCTGCCAGACGAGGCTGGCTGGCGTTTTTTGTGAGCCTGAGGCTGGTTTCTTGAGCTTCTGCCTGTTGCGCCAGGTAGAGGCAGAGGACAAAGCCATCATCTCTCTTCAAGCCGGGCACGATGCCTCAATAGCCATCTCCGTTGGCAGCCGCATACAGTGCGTCTTGGAACTGGAGCCCCGGCCTACGGGTTAAGCCTGACACGCCAAAAGGCCCCCTCAAAGGTTCCATGGCCAGCATGAAGCTCGACCAAGCTAGCTATTTGGTGAGTGCCCAGAAAATAGCAAGTAAGGCTTTTCAGTTACGCCGCCATACATGCCGGAAGCTTTTGGTTCAGGCAGCCGCTCAGAGTAAGCCCCTCAAAAAGTCCTGGGCGACTGGCCCCCCAGGAACGGCTCTTCGAGATTCGGTACTTTCCAGAGGCTTGGAGCCAGGGACGGCGAGGAGACTGATTTGGGGGTTTGGCTTTTTGAAGTTTGGTTGCCTCCTCCCTAGGCTCTGGTGGTGTCCACATACATACAGAGGTCTGCCCCATAATTCGGACCGTTCCTCTAATTACTGGGTCACAGACTTTTTGGCCTGGCCAGAGGCTGTGGACAACTTCCAGAGCAACTGGAGAAGCTTGGCGAAACGCTGAGTTTCACTTGTGCTTGGCCCGTGGATATGTGAAAGCCAATGCTATGGCGGTGGGCTTCTTCAGGCCACAACTTGAGCGGCATTCCTAGGGACGTTCGGAGACCATGTTGCTTGTGCCCTTGCCCAGTAGCAGCTCCTGGACAACAGGTCATACCAGGTCTAGGGAAGTTCCGGTTTGCAGAAGCTGCGCATCGTGCACATACCCTTCTGACACCCGGTGTGCCGGTGATAGCAGGCAGGTGTGACGGGGAACGAGCGGCAGCGCATCTGTTGTGAACCGAGAAGCGTTGACTTGAGGACAGGCCCTTGAGATCGTCCGAGACCGCTGCGACTGTGACGACGGGCCATGTCCGCAAGAGTGCCCGGACATGCAAGCTACGATGAATTATGGCTTCAAGCTTGCGCTGGGTCTGGAGCTGTTTCGTGTGTTCTCATGCAGGCTCACCTGCAAGGCTCCCTTTTCGCCACGCCACCTTGTTCCGGCCAGGGTCCATAGTTGCACCTGGAAGTCCAAGGTTCGACTACGGAATCATGGTCGGATTCGGACTGCGCCTGAAGACGCACTTCACTTGGCTCCCGAAAGTTGTGGAGCTGGTGTTTCGGGTGCACCGCTGGCGCAATGTCAATCATCACGAACCTTGGCTTGGAGTATCGTGTTGACCTTCTAGGTCACGCAGGGTGAGCGAATGGAATCACTTGTCAGCACGCAGGAAGCGCATGCGCTGATGGGGTACTTCAGCCGCCCGGCGATATTTTTCTCCGAGCCGAGCCGTAGGCAATCCCATTGGAAGCGGAGGCTCTCCATTCCGCAGTGCACTCGTGCTGTCCTACGACGGTGGGGGCAACGATGGAGTCTTCAACGTCTTTCTGGCGAGAGGCACGGCAATTCTGCGTGTCGGAATGCCAGTGAGACTGCCCGAACATGCAGATGCTGTGACAGGCCAGGACTTGTGGCGGATTGCTCGCAAGCCTCTGAACCTGGGAATCTCGGCTGCCAGAGTCGGGTAGCTCAACCTGCCATAGCTTGAGCCATTTTTCCTGAACTGCCTGAGGAACTGGGTACCACCGGCTGGCCAGTTATTTACCGCAGGTGACAGGTGCAAGTGAGGTGGGGCTGGTGGCTTGCGCGGCCTTGGAGAAGGACTCTCATTCCGAATGCCTCTGGCATATTCTGGCTTATCCCTTGCGTGACCAGGAGGGTGATTGGATCGACCTGAAGTACAGCTTCGGGGACACGCTGGCCTTGGGCTTTGCGGGCAAGCTGATGGGCTTCTCCGGCCTGTCGGCCCCCAGCAAGGAGGCTGACCACGTCATGAGCGAGAGAGAGAGTGTGTGTGTGTGCGTGTGTGTGTCAGAGTTATGGTGTTGGGGCTTGAGGACGGCAGCGCATTTGCAGGCTAGCGAGATACAGATGTCTCAAAAGTTCTTCATCACCCATGCACCCAGTACCAATGTGTACGAGCATGGAGACGTCTAGGTAAGTCCTTGGATTCGGCGTTTCTACGAGCGCCTGGAGCATCGACAAAACGAGGCTCCCTCGGCAGGGCTGCGCGTTTTTCTGTGAGACTCTAGATGTATTCTGCTTACAGCTGCATGGTCAGGTTCCCCGTGCCATGCTGGAGAAGATCTGCGAAGGGGACCGTACCCAGCCGAGATGTGCAAGCTTGAGAAAGAGATTCGAGACGACTGGCAGGAGACTGGTGCGCGAGAGGTCGCCGCCTCAATCCAGGAAGAGTTTGCTCGCATCGTCCGCGAGGCGGACAGCGGGTGCTCGAAGTTTTTTTGGGAAGGGTGCAAGCTGTGCTCTGGGCAGGTGCTGGTGGACTACCTCGCAGAGCTGGAGCGCAAGAGGGTCAGTGTGGAGGGCATTGTGTTGACTGGCGGCTGTGCTTTGAATGTGGTGGTGAACCAGCAGGTGCGTGACACCCTGACTGAAGCGACATCAGACCGGCCAAATCCAATGAAGCCCCAGGACGTGTACGTGCCGCCAGCTCCCAACGACTCGGGGCTCACGGTCGGAGGGGTCTGGGCAGTGTCGCCACCGGCGGGGCCGAGACAGAAGCTGCAGTACCTGGGCTTCCAGCTCTTCGACAAAGAAGTCTTGCAGAGCGCAGCAGAGGAGCGCGGGGCCCAGCGCCTCTCTGCACTGGGCGGCGTTCACTTCTTGGCACAGCTCCTTACCGAAAAGACTCGGCCCATCGTGGCGGTGGTCCGCGGGCGACAAGAGTTCGGACCGCGGGCCTTGGGGCACCGGTCTCTCCTGGCGGTGCCCGACTCGCCGGATCTGCGGGATCGGATGAACCGGCTCAAGTTCCGGCAGTGGTACCGGCCGGTGGCGCCGATGATCGCCGAGGAGGGCCTCGAAGGGGTCTTCGGGCACAAGTCCTTTGCTCCCTCCATGGAGTTCGCCCCCGTGGTCCTGGAAGAGGTGCGGGAGCGCTTCCCGGCGCTGGCGCACTTCGACGGCACCGCCCGGCATCAGTCGGTGAGCAAAGGGGATGAACCCTGGGCCGCTCGGGAGATGCAGATAGAGAATTGACTCCAGACACAGTGCGAATGGAGCGCCAGTATATAGCCGTCTTTTTGTCAGCCTGAAGTTTTGTCTGAGGTTCATGCCCTCCTGCTAGCCGTCGGCAACCGGACTGGACTTCCTGCGCTGATCAACACGAGCCTTGGGCTTTCAGTTGGCCTGCTTGCGGTGAAGCAGCGGCCTTTTTTCTCACTTCTGACGTGTGTGGCCTTGAGCAAAGGAGCTTCAACTCGCGCGGCAAGCCAATCGTCAACACGGCGTCATGGCTGAGAGCTCGAGATGCTGAGAGCGAGAACGTCTGCAACAAAGTGCGGGTGCGGGGCACTCTTCTTGGAGCCAGTTTCTTGCAAAGGTGGCGGAGTCCTTGAAGATGCTGGACGAGCTCGCCGACTTGGACTACCTGCTAATCGAGGACTCCGGTGCCGAGTGCGCGCGCGCGCGTGTGTGTGTGTCCAGATTGCGGGGGGCCCGTCCCTGACAAGGACTGGCTGTTCCGCGCCCCGGCAGGGCTTTGTCCTCAGAGGGATGCAGGGGGCGAGTTGGAAGAAGGTGCCCCTTCGAATGCTGAAGTCTTGACATGGTCTCCGCCCAGGAAGCCCGCCATCAGCAGCGAGATACCGAGAGCAGCGGTGGAATGGTTCTCTCCTCGCTGAACTTTGAATATAGGTCTTCCACATGCTGCACTTCCTTTGTTCTGGGATTTGCGCGGAGATCGATGAAGTGCTGCAGGGTCGAGGAGATTCCCTCCTGCGGTCTGTGGAGTGACTCTGCGATCCAATCTACTATTACTATACATGGCCGACAACACTGACAAAACGGGAGGCTCCGTTCCGTCCACGCCGATGCAGTTCGATGCGTCCGTGCGAGCATGAGCTGCTGCACTTCACGTAGAAAGCGCTGACGCCTGGAATTTGGGCCCACTGCAATCCACGCCCGCCTATCCAACTGGATGGAAGCTGATCTGGCGCAGCCTCTGGGGTGCAATCGATATTCTTCTTTCTGCACAGGGGATGATGTGGTCTGGCGCACGCTGAGATTCCAAATCGGCATGGGAAGCACACATCTCAGAAGAGCATGCGCGCTGACAGGCTGAGTGTATCGAGCATGATGCATTGATCAGCAGACTTTCGATGTGGGCTGATTGCACCCAGTGCTCGGAGTACTTGCGACGACACATGCGCCGCAGCATGCCAGCCTTTCGTACGTTTAGTGGTGTTCGAATACCATAGAAGTGTAGTGACGTTGTTTGTGCAGTAGCGTTTCGAGCTGAGACAGGGCGACAGTAGCTGTAGCTTCCCATGCTGTTAACATGCGCCTGTAGACCAGAGATCTGGGCATCTGCGCCATGCGGGGACGTACTCTCTCACGCGACGGGCATGATTCACGCGAGGGTAGTGTTTCTCGGCAGCATCTGCTCTCTTCTTACACGATAAATCTCAAAGCTGAGCCGGATGGCGAAATCAGACAGCTTTTGTTTGTTCTGCGAGCGTGACTCCTGGTCCTGCCTTCATGCAGCATGAGTCGCACCTGTCGGAGCCATGTGCCGCCTGCAGCTACACATAGCACGGAATCTCAGAGATAAGAGTGATAAGAGATGTATAAAGTTCGTGATACTTGTTTGCGAGAGCTGGACCACGCTTCCCGACTCTGCTGCAGATCTCCTACGCATCGCTGATTCCGGACCTGCGAGAAGGGACGTTGTTGTAAATGTTGCTTGGGATGTGCAGAGCGTGTGCATGTGCCTTGTAACAGCTGGGCAATCCGGACGTATCTCAAAGTCTGAATGGCTCCCAGACATCCTCAAACTGCTCTTAGGGGTATGCAGGACGACCTGCCAGCGAGCACCACGCAACGCAGGCAGGGTAATGTCAGTGTTGAGGCATTTTTGGATTCCTCCATCGACGCCTCCACCCTTACCGTATAGAAACGACTAAGAGTTTGAGAGAGTTTTGAGAGTCTTCTTCAGGTGGAGATGTGGCTGTGCGTCTCGGCACATCGAGCTTCGGGGCTCGAGCCGGCGGAAGCTTTTCGCGGTTGGTTTCAAAGGGATTGCAGTGTGAAGGTCATTGAGGCCGGGGCAGAGGAATGCGCAGCGAAAAAGTCGACTCGGAACTCCGCAAAAACCCTCTGCAGCAGATGTAGCTGTACGACTCTAGGAGTTCAGCGACGGCCCCCTGTGCTACTTGAGGGCGGGCCAGCGGAGTGAAGGGATGGATCACAGTACTGAGTCTGAAGAGTTTTCTGCATAGGTGCTGGCTGCCGCGACTCTCGGCGCCTCCATGGCCGTACTCGCAGCGTCGGTGCGACTGAGCCACAGGGAGGCCCTGGCTTGACATCACGTGGGAGATATCAGCTCCCTTTTGACATGCTTCGACTCGTCGCACTTGTGCAAGCTGGTCTCCTGTTCTGGGGATGTGCCTGGCAGGCCTTGCTGGACAATCAGCTGGAGGAGCTGTTTGCGCAGCGTCCGCACCGGGCTCGAGCGGCTGAGGCCCTGGAGCAGGGCAGTCGATCGAAGCACGGCCTGTGCGTTCAAGCTCGTCTACAGCCAGGCTCTGCGGCGAAGCCTGGCAGACCTGCCCTCGAACTCCTCAGCTGGACCGCCGATCACAGGTTGGGGTGGGACTAAGCACATGAAAACCCTGTCTGCCACCCTGCCACTGCCACCCTGCCCAGCCTTGATGACGCGGACGAGCCTGAAGAAGGACACGCCCGGGGATGCTTTTTGTGGGACCTTAGGAATCCGCTGGATGAAGGACGAGGAGAAGCTTGGGAACCAGCTGTGGTCCGACCTGGCACCCAGCTCCGGTTTTCTGAGGTTCCGCATATGGAAGTGCAGGGAAGTGGCCCTCAAGGTGACACCTTCCCTTTCCTTTCATCCCCTTTGGCTCAGTGAGAGGCCCTTCTCCGACCCGAACTCAACCTTTACGCCGGTGCTCCGAACCTTGGTTGCATTTTGATGCTGTGGTTCTGGGAGGACGGGGAACACGCCCTTTCGCGGAACAGGTGTGTACATCAGCGACAGCCAGTCCTGCTGCTGTCATGCAAGTTGTAGTATTGGCAGATCTGAGCATCATGCGCCAGGATTGTTTATTTTATTTTTTTTCTCCGTTGGCCCGCGATCGTTCATCCACAACATGCCAGATTCGAGCTGCTATTGGGGCGATGAGTGATTCTCGAACGCATAAGCGCTTGCCTCCGAGGAGCCTGGCATGGATTCAAGGCCAAGGGAACGGAGCTGTTCGTCTTAGCTTCGTCGCTTGCATGCAGCGAGGGCTCGTGCTTCCTTGTTTGGATGACTTGGCGTCTGCGCGTGTGGAGCAATATTCGCAGCCGGCTCATGGTTTTCCGAGCCTGGCATGCCAAAGATATAACGTGATGTCACTGATATCACCAACTCCATCTCTCCTTGCCTCAAGCGGGGTCTGACATTGCAGCAAGATGTGAAGCCTTCGCCCTGTGTCTGAGGATATTCATCACCGGAGCTGGACTCAGCGAGTTCTTCCCCCTTCTGAACGTCGTCCAGGCAGTCTAGCTCGAAGTTCAGCAGCTTACACTGGCTTGCTGGCGAAGTGTCTGTGCACTGCTGCGACCTTTGCTGCATAGCTTTTGGCATTTGGGAGTCTCAATTGCGGCAACCTCAGTGGCACGCCAGAGCCAAACTCCCTAAACCAGCACCACGATGGGCATGCTTATTGCCATCGCTTTCGTTCTCATCAAACTCCTTTCGTTCTCATCACCCTCATCACCAGTCATTGCGCCCTCCTCGTCCTCATCCCCACCCTCCTGGTAGTCGCTGTCGCCGCTGTCGCTGTCGCAGCTGTCGCCTCGGCAGCACCACTCTGCCAGGGCTTCCCTTGGCCGAGCTGGTTTGGTTGGCGGCCTTCTCAGCGGTTCCACAGAATGTGTGTTTGGGCCCTGCCTCGAGCTGATGCCTTCAGTGCCTTCCCCCAGGTTCTTCGACCTTCTCTGGTGGCTTTTCCGAATCGATGTCAACGGACACGTGCCCCAGCATACTCATGCCGCAGTCTCTGCGCTCGTGTCTTATCTGCTTCTTTCAAGATTCAGCCTCATGCAGGACCCAAGTGGAAGCCACCAGTGAAGGGGGAGAAGATGGGAGCTGTGTCCTTTCATAAGTGACTTGGCGTAGAGACCTCCAAAGAGCTTGGAAAGCCAATGAATCCAGAAATTAAAAGGTCTTGATTTGATTGTTGGGTCTAGGCCCATCTAAAGGTTATGCTTCTTGAGTAGGTTAAAGAAAGACATCAGTCCTGATTTGATTGAGGCCGGCTGGCTACATTGTGCAGAATATTGCTCAAATTCACACCATCACGTTCGAGTTTTCTTGCAGGAGACCTCCCCGCGTGAATCACGATTGATCTAACAGTGAGGTTGGCCGATGAACGTTGGGATGTGAAACTTCCCAGCTTCTTCCAAGACTATGTAACTGGCGAGCGCGTCCCCTCCTGGGAGGCCCTTCCGTGAAGCCAATCAATTTGGGTGTTCAGTAGTTCATGCGGCTGGTGCCCAGTTTCAAGCGCTAAGACAGGACCACTTCCGTCACGCCACGGGTATCAAGATCATTGATTTCCTGGTCAGCTCCATGCGGGCCTTCGGCTTCGAGCCGACGCCTGGCTGAGCGGGGCCTAAGGCCCCAGAAACCCCAGAGGGGCCGTCGCTGCCCAGGATCGAGATGCTCCGTGCCACGGAGCCCCGCTTCGCCTTCGACTCGGAGGGCCTCACGGAACTCGCTTGGTCAGCCGCGTAACCCGACCCAGAGAGAGCCCCATTGTATCTCGCTAGGCCGCTAGGGGGAAGGACGGTTCCGTCGCAGGCGCGGCTTTCGCCAGTTCGGCCCGACGGACATCAAGTTCGCGTCGAATGGCGTGCCCTGCCGGTTTTATGGTTAGGCTGGTAAGATCCTGTTCAGTGCTGAAGCGGATGGGAAGCAGCTCTGCTTCGGTCCGAGGTTTGGGGCATCAAGCTGGTGGAGGATCTCATGGAGAAGTACGGCACCAAGGGTGAGGTTTTAGGCCGGGGGAGGGGGGGCGCTTGAGCGAGAGTCGACTTCAAGAGCCACCGCCGGAAGGTCCCTTGATGACCGACTCGGCCTTCTCAGCTCACCTCACGTACGACGGAGAACTCTATCACATCGATGCTCTCCTTGAAAACGATGCTTTTTGAGCCGTTATGCTCCCTTACTTGCCTTGCTCTCGTATCACACTCTTCAAGGACATGTCGGCCCTGGAGCCCTACGAGCCCATCCCCGGCTACGCGCGGCTGGGTGGCCGTGCCGCCTTCCGGGCCGAGAAGGGACGGCGCGCGCCTTGAAAAGGGGCCCGGGAGTGGTGTGGGCTTTCGTGGGCTCTGGGGAGGTGTTGATACTTCTCCACAGCAGTCCTCCAGATGGTTGGTGGAATGTTTGGCAGGCTGAAAACCGTCTTCATGTCCTACAACGGCAGCAACTACACGGACTTCGAGGTGACCCGCATTTCTCTCTTCTCCCCTTGCCTTGCTGTTGTGGGCCTCAGGATCCTCAGTCGGATGAGATGTACTCGAAGTCGATTCGCTACGGCTGGCGGATGGCGGAGGTGGCGCGTTGCAAGAGGGAGTTTGGGATAAGGTTGGCTGCCCTGCGAATCAGGTGTCTTAGGCTCCAGGTTGAAGTGCCGTGGGCAGGGGTTGCTGGCTTCAGCTCGTGGAATCATGGGCTTTCTCTTTTGCCTGAGCTGACCAGACACACTCTCGTCGTCCGTGATAATTTGAGGCTCACTAGAAAGACATACCGGGTTGTGGACGGCTGTGGAGGCTTCCATCATTGCTTCCCTGCTGTCGATGACGAACCTGATCCTCCATGTCCATCGGCATCTACAGAAAGTCTCTCAGGAAGGTTCCGCAGTCGATGGCGAATCCGATCCTTCCGGGCTTTTGGTTCGTGAGATGCCTTTTTTTGGTGCTCTCGCAAAGCAGCGCCATGAGCCTTCTAGGGCTCCCGTTGCTTTGCGCCCAGGTGAAGGATCTCCATCTCGAGCTTTCAGCCAGCTTCCAGGCTCGGAAAGTTTGCGGGGGAGATCGAGGGGTCTCGGCATCGGACTTCCGCGTCTGCTTCTGGATTCACTTCAATCTAAAAGGAGGGTACCGGGCACAGGATGCTGCACGATTTCCTGGAAGCAGCATCGGTCCCTCCCCAGGCGGATGATGCCAATGACTCTCAAGTCTTGTACAGATCAGAACAGGTTCACAAAGGCTCGGCGGCTAAGCCCCACTCCCTCGAGCAAGGTGATAACCGTCGATGCCTTCGCCAAGAATCCGACGTGCCCTGGAACGGCAAGAAAAAGCTTGGGCTGACGGATCGAGGCTAAAGTGTCGCTTTGGTCCATTTCCGTGAATTCTACACTGCCGGAGTTCTCAGCGGTCCAAGCCATTTGCAAATCCAAAGCTGTGAATCCGAAGAACCCTGATTCTGTGAACAAATCGGGTTTTGTCTATGCCACGGCGGCTAAGGGCTTGTCCCTGCATCCCATCAGTCCCATGGAAGTTCTTGTGGTTACCAAGGCACCCGATTCGCCGGATGCTTGATCCTTTCATCAGCCGCAGCGTGCAAGCCACCAACGACAACTTCAAGCTTCTTTTTGTGGCTGGCCTTGGGCATTCAGCTTCGCTTTTTGTTGCGTTTGTGGGCTGTGGTGGCCTCCCAGAGATTTCTGCTCAGGAGTACAAAGCAGCTGATTTCAGCTTGGCACCGCTGCCAACCTCGGAGCAGCTGAAGCTGATCGAGGATTTCATCGCAGCTTTGCCCTTTGCAGCTTAAGTTCTCTTCTCCCCAACCCAAGGGTGCTGAGAGCTGTTGCCCTTTTTCGTAGAACTCAAGTCGCCGCTTCTGAGGAAACCCGTCCTCTGAACTTGGCGGACATGGACATGACGCGCTATGGCGCGCTTCGCGGGATGAACGCCAGTGTGTCCTCCAAGGAGGCAGTCTAACACGAGTTGTACCGAGACTCCAGCTCGCTCTGTCTTGTGCAGCAACGGCCCTTGAAACGCTCTTGCCCTTTAGAGGCAGTGGATGACCCGGACGTCTGGAGCTGGCGGTGGCACTACCGAGCCCTCACAGTATCGTGGCTGGGGAAGGGGTGTCAGAGTGTGCAGACCATTTTTCTTGTGGAGAGCGCCCATGAGACTTCCTTTTTCCTAGGTGCAGAATCTTTACGACGAGCTGCTCCAGTGCTGGCTTGATGTTCACTTCCCAGGCAGGGAAACGCTGCTTCTGCTTCACTGCTGTGTGTTCTTGGAAGTTCTCTTCTCGAAGGCAGTGCCGAGGAGCAGGACCGGCAGATACGCGAGGAGCGGCGGGGCGGGATGCGCTGCTCTCTCCAACCTTTACCATCCTTTACCTGATACCAGGACCCGGATATCCAACACTGGTGGTCAGTCATGGTGAGGCAATGGAATTATCGTGCGCCTGAAACCCGAAGCCTAAACATATTTACTAAAGACAACCAACCCAGATATGCAGCCAGCACAGCTATGAGAAGGTTCCGCACTCCTGAAGCCGTAGCGAGTCTGAAGCCATAGCAAAACCCTAAACACAACCAGTAAAGACAAGCGAGATTTGAAGCCAGCAGAGCTAGCCAGCAGAGCTATGCGAAGGTTCCGCATTCCTGCGAGTCAGATGCCTGCAAAGTGCCGAGGCAACTGCGCCCCCTGCGCCGTGCCATCGGTACAGCCCCGGACTTCGCAACGGCTGCACCGACAAGCCGAGGTGTCTAAGGGAATTTTGACGCCAGGGCTCGAAAGCTTGTCGCAAGTCTCGGGCTCTCGTTTCCTTGGGTTCCGGCTGTTTTGGGCTTTTGCGTGAATCTGTTGTTCTTGTAGCAGGGTTGACTGTATTGATTGGCTCTGGTGTTGCTAAGCAAGCTGTCTACTGCATTTATCGGGCCGCTGCTCCCGGCTGCAAGGTCTGCGGCAGACGCTCCGCACGATCCTGGTCTGGGTGTCATGGAGCCTCGATGTGTAGTGGGAATGCATCGATTTGCGTCATTGTAGGTGGAAGGCAATCTCCGACCGCTTCCCGTAAGTTCACAGGATTCACGAGGATGTCGGACACTCTGCGGCATCCTACGTCTACAACCCCGTGTATACGCCGATGTGTGCACCCGGCTCAGCTGTCGTCTCAAGCAGTTCTCCGATTCTTCCCTGCGAAGCTCAGGTGCCAGAAGACGGTTTGGGTGTTCCCGTGATTTCCTTCGCCTGGACCCGTGCTTGCAGATTGGAGTTGGCAAGGCTGTTTGTTTTGGTGGCCTGTGACTTTCTTTTGCCTGTGACTTTTGTTGGCGCTGATGTGTGCGTCTTTTTTCTTTCATTCTGTTAGTCTCGAAGCGTGCGCCCGAAACTACCTGATTGGCCTTTCAGAGGGCCTGTTTGTGTCGTTTATTTCCTGGTGATCCGTGTCTTTATACTTTGCGGTATATATATATATATGTATGTATGTATGTATGTATGTATGTACGTAGGTATGTATGTATGTATGTATGTATGTATTTATGTGTGCGTGTGTATGTATGTAATAATGTAATGTATGTATGCATGTATGCATGTATGCATGTATGCATGTATGCATGTATGCATGTATGCATGCATGCATGTATGTATGTATGTATGTATGTATGTATGTATTAATGTAATGTACGTATGTATGTATGTATGTATGTATGTATGTATGTATGTATGTATGTATGTATGTATGTATGTATGTATTAGTGTGTGTTAGTGTGTATATGTGTGCAGCTGTATGTACATATGTAGGCACGTTGGTAGGTAGGTATGTATATTTGTGTGTGCATGTACGTCTATGTGTGTCTTTGTGACTATTCTGGTTGTTAATGTTGGGACGGACATGATTACTGTGCGTGCAATTATTACCATTACGGTTATTGTTAGTATTCTTACAAAAACCATGATCATCATCGTCCCCATCATTATTGCATCTATTATTGCCATTATAATTAATGGTTGTTATTGTTATGATGATGGTGATGATAATGCTGTCTTGTACTACTGTTATTATTGATATTTCTATCATTGTTGTTATGGTTGTTATTGCTATATTTATTGTGTAAATATATACATGTATATGCATATATAGACATGTGCATATAGTTGTTACGAAGATCATTCTTACCACGACTATTAACATTACTACTAATACTACAACTATTCTTGGTGATTTTGTCTTCCCGACGAACCTCATCATGCCCGTTATGGTGATTTTACTTTCCGGGTGATAAACCCTAAGCCGGAAAAGGTCGTAAGCCAAAGCTCAAACCCTAAAAGAAGATGTTGACTGGTGAACACTAGGCCCTAGTAGGTTGCATTGGGTGGCAGACCCTAAATGCTAAAGCGCCCGAAACCAAAGCTTTAACCCTAAAATATGCAAGGTCGGGTGGCAAATCCCGAAGCCAAAGCGCGAACGCCTAACCCGTACAAGTAGCCTTTTTGTTGGAACCCTGATGGAACCCAGAAAAGGACACGATGCAACCGAAAATAAGAGATACAGGCCTGCTGCAGGGATCCCGCAAAAGCCAAGTTCAAAGGAGCAGAGGCGCAGGAAGGCACAGATCACCCCAAAAGAAAAGACAAGCATTGAAAAAAACGGAAGGAAGAGGGGCAGTCGAACCACCCAAACCCGGAGGAGAACTACTAGCATTCGCAGCTTCGAGTTGAAAGCTTCCAGGTTGTGGGAGGCCAGGGTTTAGGGTTAGAAGCTTCTTAACGAAGAGGAACACGGCGGCCTACCGCGGCTTTGTCTTCCTCGAGAGGGCGACTCTCCTGGAGGATGCGCTCTGAGCTGAGCCGCCAGGGCCTCGAAAAGCGTTGCCCCTGAGGACCCGCCGGGCTTCTGGTTCGACTCGGTGGAATGTCAAGGCTGAACATTTGTGTGTTTTTTTTTTCTCTCTCTCCCCACCCTCCCTCCCGCCCACTTCTCTTGCTCCGCACGAGGAGCTTGCGTGCTCCATGGTGCTCTGTGTCGTTGCATGGTGCACTGAACACTCTGAAGCTGCGTGCAAGGGCTCTGGTGGTGGCGACACTGTGCAGCGCCCAGTGGAGACAAGTCCCTGGGCTGCTTCACCCGCTTCCAGGAGAAATTGTATCTCGGCCCATGCTAGAATGCCTTTTTGGCTTCTTTGCGCTTTCTTCGGTTGCTTGCCAGAGCTTGATCAGTGCGTCGCTGCATCGCAGCCAAGGCGGAAGCTCGGAGAAGAGGACAAGGCGCATGGCCGCTGCATAGCCTGGTAGCCGATGGTAGCCGTTCGACTTGAGCTTGCCCAGAACCCCCCTCTCTATCATCCCCTGGCTGCATCCGGACCACAGTTTTTGTTTCCTCGGCGACTCCAGAGTTCAGGGCGAAACTCGGCCAGGCTTTCTCCGAATGTGAGAAGAACGGCTTCTACAGTTGTGCTGGGCGGGTTGAGACGGCGGTTTCAAGCTGAGGGTGCAGCAGATGCTTGCGCCAGATGATGCGCAGAAGATTGGAGGTTTGATGCCCTGAATTGAACTTCTGGTTGGCTTGACACTCACGCAGCAAAGTGCTTAAAGCACGCGAAGAGGTCCAGTCTGTTCGCTCTGTGTTTCTGAGCGAACGTCTACAAGCACGTCCAAAGTCGGCGTGCTGTTTCAATTTTCCGAGAGACGCTAGTGTCTTTTGGTGTAGTTCTGCGCACGAGTGCGAAGATGTCGGATTGACATTGGCGGCACCAGAGCGACTCGAAGCAGTACGCCGGCCGGTAAGAACGGAAAAGAGTCCCGGGCTCCTCAGGGCAGGGCTACGCAGTTGCGAAGGAGTATCATGTCAGGATATGTCAGGCCTTTGGTGCAAGATGGAATCCAGGAATACGAAGGCACAGATCGCCACACGTTTCTTGTCTGCTGTAAGGCTCGCATCTTGTGGCCGGCTGCTCCGGAGTGATGTTCATACATAACCACTTCCCAACAGCTTGGGTGCATCTGCTGCTCATAGTTGGCCCGAACCACAGGATTGGGCATCCTTGGTATCCCGTGGTGCCATGCTACTTAGCAAGAAACGGGCCAGTGAAGTCTGCCGGCGAGGCTTGTTCCGTGCAGCTACAGGCCTGCTTAAGCTGCGAAGCGTAAGATTCCAGTCAGAGGGACGGCCCTTCACCCCAAACTCTGTGCAGGGCTGGCTGTTCTTTCGCGGGGCGGCCGCGTCTGGTCGGCTGATGAAGCAAAGGAGGCAATCCAGGAGATGTTCGCATCTAATCGGATGTGCTTTCGGCACGGGGAGTTTCGTAGGGCCTTGTGGGGGTCGTGTCAGCCCCAGGAGACGCAGCAAGTCAAGCAGGTGGATGTGTTTGTTAGCCACTCCTGGTCCGCAGACCGCTGGGAGAAGCATCTGGCCATGTGCTTTTATCTGAATCTTTGGATGGCATCCAAGGCTCTTACTGTAAGTGCAGTCGTTTCACAGTTCGTTGTGGCTTTCCTCCCGGAGCAAAGCATTGACATGACGTACATGATTCTTATGGATCTGCCGGTGCTCATTTTTCTCACATTTTTCTTTTTCGGCCAGCATCTGACATGCGGATGCTTGTGCCCCAGCATTTGGGTGGACAAGATGTGTGTTGACCAGACCAACGAGAGCACTAAGTGGCGGGGCATTGCGGAGCTGCCTGCGATTGTTGCGTGCTCTGACCAGCTGCTCGTGTTGTGGAGCGAGTCCTACTTTGAAAGACATTCGGACGTGTTTCAGAAGGTAGCCAGGCAGAGTCTTGCTCAACCACCTGAAAGAGGGTTCAGAGAAGTGCTGTGGTCAGTTTAGATACGGTAGGCTCCAAGGGGAGATTTTGGCTTTCATGAATAAAGGCCACAGGTCACATCCCATTGCTCGTTCTCTACAGTGTGGAAGGCCTTCTGCAGAGGCCAATACAGGTCATGGTTATATATAAGCATGTATTTTAGAAGGCCCAAATAGCACAAAGAAAAGGACTCTGGTGCAACTTCGAACTGTCCATCTTTGTGAAGCTCTGCGGCGTTGGGAAGATCCGGTGTGTGCCTTTGTGGATGGCACCCTGGCTCCTGGTCACCATCGCCTTGTCTTGGTTCGGAAGTCGGATGGACTCCATTGTGCTCGACAGCGACCCCGAGGCTTTCACGGTGATGTTGAGCTACGGTGCCCAAGACGATGCACTCGAGTATGCAATGAGCCGTACCATGGAATATGTAGCAGAGGCTCCTTTCTTTGCGGTGTCTCTGCTCCCGAACCTGATCGTCAGCGCCATTTCCTTCAGAATGAAGTTAGAGAGGCATGAGACCATGCTCAAGCACATGGAGACCTTTGATATAAGAGCTGCAAAATGCTCGCTTGAGGAAGACCGCGACTACATCGAGCAGAGGGTTGCCGAGCTTTTCGACGGCATCGATGATCCAACGATTTCTGTGGCTCTTGACTCGGCGGAATGGGGCGCAGGCGGACCAAGCGAAATGGTGACTGAGACAGAGACCACAACTACCGTGCCACATGACAGCAGACCTGCGATACGTGCCGTCACCAGCTACCTTGGTCACGAGGATTCTCTCGATGCTTTTAACGCCTTTGTGCGGCATCAGCTTCGCTCCGTGATCACCGCCGACCTGGGTCTTGAGACAGACTTCCCCTGGATCATGTCACTTATCAGCTTCTTTCCTGCATTCCTCGATTTCACAGCGCAAAGTTGGTGTGGCAGGGCATTTCGTGACAAGGCTGGCTTTGCTTCCGATGGGCAATATTTCGCCCTCAGCTTTGTGACGGCTTTCCTGGCACTCTTCGTGAATTTTCCCTTGAGCCCCCCTTGCTTCCTGCTTGTCATGAAGTGGGTTGTTGCAAGAACGTCCCCAGGATTCCTGCGGCACTTGCTTGCCTTGACCTGTGGCTTTGTTTTGAACATGGCTTTGTGTGCCATGCACGGATCGATGATCGGAATGCTAGAAAGTTTTGCCATTACAGGCCACCTTGAACTGCTGGCCTACTTCTTGTTAATGCTATCCATCCACTTGTTTTGCAACTATGCCCTTTATGGGCATGACTTTCTAATCTTCCGTCGCTCGCGTCCGTCCCATAGGGGACTTCGACGCGAGGAATGCGACAGTCTTATGTAAAAGCAACTGAAAGAACAGTCTGCAGACATCGCACGCGGCAATTTTTCGTCACTTTGAGATGTCTGTGGGGGCTTCGGGGGATTCAGGATGCATGGCCTCAGGCCAGGTGGTCTTGCTGGCCGGAGGCCTTCAATGCGCTTGGGGTTTGCAGCGAGCACCGCGAAACATGCATGGGCTCAAGCGAACGTTGCCAACACCTAGCCGTCAAGATAATTCACCTGAGGGCCGCAGTCTCCAATGCTTTCGCTCAAGTATACGCGAACTAGGACGAGCAGGAAGAACAACACTAGCGATAGGAACCGGTCCATGGAGCCATGGACCCCGGCGCAGTCGACCTTCCCCAGAGCTTCAGCTCAGAGGAGTCTGCGCGCTAGGCAGAGGCAGACTTTGAGGTTTTGTTGAGCCGCGGGCTGCGCTGAGTGTTTGGGGGTGAAAAGGGGCGCAGCTTAATCTATGATCATCCTGCAATTCCTTTCAGTGCGCAGTGCTGCTGTCATGGTTGTGTCATGTACCATGGTGTCATGCCTCTGACAGGCCCGCACCTCGGACTTCCGAGGAGCCGGAGGCACGCGGGCCTTCAGTGATTGCGAGCTTCGAAAGTTGGGTCAGCTCTCGGGAATCAAGGAATCAAGAAGAGAGGCTCCATGCAGGGTGCATCAAAGTCAAACCCCGTCAAAAATCCCTACCACTCACACTCCAAAGCCCCCCCGTGTCAAGATCGTTTGCGGCTTTCCCCCCCTTGTTTGCGTTTGCGCTGTCGAGCCCAGGTTCGACTGCCTCACCTTCTTTCGCGTGAGGAACCCTGAGCTCTAGAATTGCCTAACCCCAAAACCGCAAACTCTAGCAGTTCTAGATCCGACAAGATCCTAGACCTAAAGCCCTGAAACCTGAAACTTAAAGTGCCTTCTACACCAGATGGTAATGTTTGCATCTGAATCGAAGGTCCCTGGCTTCTTTGCCGTCGTCAAGGCCTTTCATGAGCGGTGTCTCTTGTGAAGTGAAGAGACTTGGAGGTTTAGGATTTTGGGTTACAGGATTCTAGTTCGGTTCGCGGCAGACACAGGATCGATTCAAGGTCCAAGTGGTCTTTCCAGAACCGCAGGAAAGGCATTCTACAAGCATTCTGAACCGAAGAAATCTTCAGCCCTTGCCTGTGATCCCCTGGAAAGCAATGAAAAGGTTTTTGTGCGCTCGCCCTCACTTCCAGAGCCATGCCAGGAATTGAATCGCTATAAGGCTCAGGGACGCTGGCCAGGGGACCCAGCCGTCCCCAGCTCTTTGTTTCCAGCTTTGTGGCGTCGGGTTTAAGACAGGAGAGACCGTAGTCAGAGAACGACCGGCTTCCTTGCTCTAAAATCTCAGGCCTGAGGCCGTGGCTCTGCTGCTGAAAGCGCGGCAGGAAGGCAGGAAGGGACACTGAATCTCAAAGTCTTCGTCTTGACAGCATTTGAGATTGAGGGGAGAACGGCCTCGCTATTGACTCTATTGTGCAAGTGCTGCCGCGTTCACGGATTGCATCGGAGGTTTTACTCACAATGCGGTCGCGACGCATGCCGCCTTGGCTGTGACCTGGCGAAGAGCGCATGAAATGCCCAAGTCCCGTTACTCTGGTCCATCTTGCTTCCCAGTCGTCTCTACAGTAAGACTATGTGCTCTGAAGGGGTTAGCAGAGTCATCGTTTACAAAGCTGGAGGCAAAGTTGAGGAGTCCCCATCCTGTGGGCTTACCGGCATGGCTGCGTCCGGGTCCTGTCTTACCGAGCTTCCAAAACTTTTAGCTCTCAGCCACCAGAGTCCGAAACAAAGACCGTTGGCGAGACCAAAACATCCCGAAGATCGCCAAGCGCAATTCCTTACATCATCCCCAAAACCCTAAAAAACCCTAAACCCTAAACCTTACATCATCCCCAAAACTCGCCCCTCGGTCGACGGCTCGGCGCTGCCAGTTCCAAGGCTTCCGTGGTCTCGCGCGACGCGCATCAGGGCCGAGGAAGCCGTTCGTGGCCACCCCAAAATCTCCTGAACACTGGAGGATGCAAAGTGCGATCCTTCCTGCAGTTTGACATCGGGTTCCAAGAATTCCGGAAGGAAACACTGTTTGCTCTACTTCGCATGCAGTTGCTTTTTGGCTTGCTTCGGACTACTACGATGTGTTCGTTTGAATTGCACTGGAGCCCCAGTTGTGGTCCACGTCTTCACAAACAGCCAGTCATGCAGCCGATGGCATCTTCTCGTCTCTTGTGATCCACCCTTTCAGCGCACGCTGGACGCTGTATCGTGCCAAGCCGGGTGTGACGAGCTGAGCCGCAGACACTTTAGCTGCCTACAGCAATGCTTCCTCT